TCTATTTCCCATACCCTTGGAAACACTTGGTATTATCAACCTTTATATATGACATTCTGACGTTATAAAAAGATAACAACTAGTGCCCAGATCTTGGTTTCTAAATACAATTGTTTTCCAATAAAAAGAATGAGTGCTGCACATAGAACGGTTGATTCTAGCATTGGAGTAGAGAAAATTCAAGATGATTCTGAAAGACCTTGTGGTGCCAGAAAATAAGGAAGTAGACAAAAATAAAAACATCAAAATTACACAGAATCTCCTAAAGGTCAAAGGTGGAACCATTTAAGCAACAGAATAATGATGAAATTAAGTTATAAGTCATAGAATAAACATATATTAGTCCATGCGGATATAAGTAAATGAGTAAATAAATGGGTAGGTGGGACATCTTCCTTACAGAATTCCAGTTAACATAGGAGACATGAAAGAAATAGAAAATTACCACTAGGTAAACACCACAGTAGTAACTGTCAGAATCAAGAACCATTAATGAATGCTAAAATTGGTGGGGAAACGTATGATAAGAAACAGAATATTTGAATGGTCCCAATGTATCTTTCTATAGTGAAGAGGTATAGCAGATACAACCTTAACCAAGGTTAACATCACCAGTATTAAGACATATAAGCAAGTACCTTCTGATATAATACACTAAAAAGGACATCACTTCTGTGGTATTCTTACCAAAAATGCATAACCTCAATCTAATTACAGAAAAACATCAGACTAATCCCAATTTTGGACATTATATAAAATAACAGACAAGTACTCTTCAAAATTGTCAAGGTCATTACAGACAAAGAGTGAGAACTGTCACAGATAGGAATGGAATAAGAACACATGATATCAAAATGCAATGTGGGATCCCGAATTTGATCTTATAAGGTCAAATAAGATATGATCTGATAAGGCCTTATAAGATATCTTATAAGGTCTTATAAGATATGATCTGATCATATCTAACTGCTATGCTGTATACTTGAAACAAATACAAATATTGAATGTAAACTGTAGTTAAAAAAAATAATTAAAGAACCCTAGTTTTGGATCATAAAAGGACATTGGTGGGACAAGTGGAAAATCAAATGACTTCTGTAAAATAATTACCACTGCATTATCAATATTATTTTCCTGTTTTGATAATTGTACTGTTATGTAGGATGCTAACACTAGGGGAAATTGGGTGAAGGATATATGGAAACTCTTTTACTATTTTTGTGACTTTTAAGAGTGCTCATGTCCTACTGTATATTACTACTCTGAGCATTTTTTCTTAGCTTATCAGTCATTTACATTTCAGTTTCTATAAATATTCATTTATCTATTTTTAATTGTATTGACTTTAATATATTAAGAAAATTGTATACCTTTTATGTTAAGAAAATAATCTCACGTGTACCAAATTATTTTCCTGCTTCTGTTGATACTTTTAATGGTAGGAATTTGTATGTGTATATAGGATGACTTTAACTGACAATTTCTGCTGACCTATGGGGCAGAAAATAAGGAAGGATAGCCAAGTGGCTTTAAGTCTTCAACAAAAATCAAAAGACCAAAGAATAGAAACTACTTTATAGAAACGATTTTGAGAAACTTTCTTTCCTCCATTAAAAATTACATTTATTTGAAAATTCACATACAGTAAAATTAATCATTTTTATTGTACAATTACAGAAGTTTTGACAAATGCATACACTCAGGCAAGTATAATCAAAATACAGAAAATTGTTATTAAAGCAAATTCCTGTGCTACCATTTTGTCATCAGTATGGCATTTTTAACCCGAAACCCACTGATTTGTTCTATTCCGAGTTTTCTTTTTCAAAATATCACGTATGTTGAATCAAACTGGAAGCAGCATTTTGAGCTTGCCTTCTCTTACCAAAATGCATTTCAGATTTAGTCAAGTTGTTGCATGTGTCATTGTTCATCATAGTTTTTATTGCTGAGTAGAATTCAATGAATATACTACAGTTTATCTATGCACCAGTTGAAGGTCATCATTCATTTTAATTTTCCTCTATTATTGGTGGTTGTAGGTCTAGAAAAGGGCAGAGGTAAAGTTTTCCACTCCACAGGAAGAAATTTCTTCTGAGAAGTCTAGGTTAGAAGTATGCCCCTGGGTAACATGTGCAAGAAGTTATAACGGGATAACTTCTTGTCCCTTAAACTATATTCAAAATTGGAGACTTAATCCCAAGTGAGCAGTATATCAAAAGAATGAGTTTGTCCTGAGTATAGTTAGGTGATATCCTCAGAGCAGGCCTTATACATGGTCTGGGAGTCGTCACTGGCAGAGTATTTTAAAAAAAAACTTTTTTAAAGAAAATGCTGAATGAACAAAGAATAGAAAAAACATCAAACTATGCGACTTTAAAAATTTCTGCCCATTCGATCCCAACTCTAAAATGTTTACAATTTGGTATGTATATTACCTAGATTTTTCCTATATTTAGAAATATATACATATACTATATATATACAGAAATGTTTTTGTTTACAAAAAATGTATTGATATTACACAGTTGACCTTTGAACAATGAGGGAGTTAGGGGCACCGACATCCCACGTTTGGAAATCTACATATAACTTTTCAAACACCAAAACCTTAGCTGCCCCTTGATATCCATGAACGGCTCCAGCACCCCCTGCAAATACTAAAATCCATAGATGCTCAATAAAATAAAATAAAATCCGTGGCTGTTCAAGTCCTGTATATAAAACAGTATAGATCAATACATAGTCAGCCCTGTTTCCATGGAGTACCAACCACAGATCAAAATATTACAGGTATTTATTGAAAAAAAAATCCATGTATAAATGGACCTGCATAGTTGAAACCCATGTTGTTTAAGGAACAACTGTACATATTACTTGCTTTTTAACTTAATATAAAATCCTGGACACCAAACAGTTCAGAATGTATTCATACATATGTCCTATTATTTTAATGGCTGTGCACTAAATGGATATTCCATTATTTATTCATCCATTCTGCTACTGATGGACATTTGGGTTGTATTCAACTTTTTATGACTTTGAGATATAATTCACACACCATAAAATTTACTCATTTAAAGTTGATTGTAGAAAATCAGAGTTGTACAATCATGACCACAATCAATTTTAGAACATTTTCCTCAACTTCTAAAGAAATCTCATACTCTTCAGGTATCACCCTTAGTCCTAAGCAATCACTACTCTACTTTCTCTGTATTGGCCAATTCTAAATACTTCATATGAATGGAATCATATAATATATAGTCTTTTGTGACTGTTATTTCATCTATCATATTTTCTACACATTGTAGCATCTATCAGAAGTGTTCCCTCCTCTTACTTTTTGGAAGAGTTTGTGAGGAGTGTACTAATTCTTTAATGTTTACTAGAATTCATGTGAGATGCCATTTGAGCCTTGGCTTTTCTTTGTGGGTATTTTAAAAAATTACTAATTAACATCTTGTTACAGGTCTTTTCAGATTTTTTCATTGGTTTCAGTAGTTTGTGTACATTTCTTGGCATACAATTATCTATAATCTATAGTGTTCCTTCAAATTCTTTTTATTTCTATAACGTTGGTAGTAACATCCCTTCTTCATTTCTGAGTCTAGTAATTTGGGTTTCCATTTTTTCCTGGTCAATCTAGCAAAAGGTCTATCACTTTTGTTGAGATTTTTATAGTCCCAATTTTGGTTTCATTGACATTGCTGTTTTGCAATCTCCACATCATTTATTAATTTTTTTTCCTTTCTTCTGTGTGCTCTAGGTTTAGTTTGCCCTTTTTCCAGTATCTTAAGGTATAAAGTGAGGTTACCAATATGTGGTCTTTTTAACAACATGGGCATTTGTACTTATAATTTTCTAAGTATTGCTTTAGGAGCATCCCATAAGTCTTGGTATGTTGTCTTCATTTTCATTCACCTAAAGAGATTTCCTTATTTCCCTTATGATATCTCCTTTAACTAATTGGTCATTTAAAAGTGTATTTAATTCACATTTGTGAGTTTTACAACTTTCTGTTATTGATTTCTAGTTTTACTCCATGTAATCAGAGAACAGTTTGAATGATTTCAGTTCACTTAAATTTCAGGTTTGTGTTATGGTATATCCTGAAGATATTTCATGTACAGTAGAGAAGAATGTGTATTCTGCTCTTGTTGTGTGGAGTGCTCTATAGATCTCTTTAAGGTCTACATGACTTATAGCATTTTTCAAGTCCTTTAATTCATTATTGTTTTCTGTCTAGTTATCCGGTTATTGAAAATACAATATTAAATTCCCCAACTCTTATTGTAGACTTGAATATTTCCCCCTTTATTCAGTTCATGTATTTTGTATTCATGATTGAATACTTGCAGACTTGAATATTTCCCCCTTTATTCATGATTCATGTATTTTGGTGCTTTGTTGTTAAGAGCATATATATTTACAATTTTTTTTATCTTTCTGATGTATTGAATCTTTTATCATTGCAATATGTCACTATCTCTAGTAACAGTCTTTGTTTTAAAATCATTTTGTCTGATATTATTAGTATGGCCACTCCAGCTTTCCTATAGCTGCCACTTGCCTAATATTTTTTCTACCTTTTTACCTTTAATCTGTTTGCATCTTTAAAGTATGACTCTGATAAATAGCACAGAGGTAAATCCTATTTCCCCCCACAATCTCTGGGGTGAATCTCTGCCTTTTGATTGCATTGTTTAATCCATGCATATTTATTGTTATTTACGTAGGTGTATTTAGGACTGCCAATTTACTGTTTTTATTTTTTTAATTGTATTTATTTATTTTCAGACCAGAGGGGGAGGGAGGGAGAAAGAGAGGGAAAGAAACACCAACGTGTGGTCACCTATGTAAGCCCCCTACTGGGGACCTGGCCCACAACCCAGGCATATGCCCTGGTTGGGAACTGAACCAGCAACCCTTTAGTTTGCAGGCCAGCACTCAATCTACTGAGCCACACCAGCCAGGGCTGTTTGTTTTCTGTATGTCTCAAATTTTTCTTGTTTTTGTTTCTCCATTCCTCTTTTTGTATGGTTTTACACTGATATTTTTCTATTGGGACACTTAAATCTGTTTAATAATATTTTCACTATTTTCAGTTATTTCTTAGTTGTTGCTCTAAGGGTTTACCATGCACATCTTAACCAAATTGGCTTCAAATATATCATAATCCCAATGAGATATTAAAACCTTATTCTTATATAAACCTATTCATTTTTCTACTTCTTTATGATACTGTTATAGATATTTCTGTTATAAATCCAACAATACATTGTAATAATTGAACATAATTTTGTCTTTTAAAGAAGGTGAGAGAAAAGTATATATTTATAGCTTTTTAATAACTTTATTTCCCATTTTATGTTTTCTTCATTTATTTCAGCAGATTTGAGTTACCACCTGTAGTTAGTTCTTTAAGTTTTGCTTCCACCCACATCCTTTGTCCTGTTACTGGCAACAGTTTCATATGTTACAGGCCCCAAAGGGCAACTATATACATACTGTTTTATAAAATTGATTTTTAAATCAATTAAAATAAAGGAAAATGCATCTAGATGAAATTTTATAATTACACAATTAACTTTACCCATGCTATATTTTTATGTGTATAGATTCAAGTTACTGTCTGAGGTCACTTACTTTCCACCTGAAGAATTTCCTTTAATATTTCCTGTAAATTACGTGTGCCAGCAACCTATTCTTCCAGTTTTTGATTATGTGGGGATGTCTTTATTTAATCTTCATTTTTTAAAATTACTTTTATTGGATGCAGGATTCTATATTGAGTTTTTTTTTTCCTTGAGCACTTTGAATATGTCATCCCACTGCCATCTCCATTACTTCTGATGAGAAGTCAGTTATTAATCTTATTGGGGTTCCATTGAGAATAATGGTTCATTTTTTTGATGTTGTTTCCAAACTATCTTTGTTTTAGCACCTTTATTATAATGTGTCTGTGGATTTCTTCTTGTCTACTGTTCTTGGGGTTCACTGAAATTCTTGGATGAGTAGATAATGTTTCTCATCAAATTTTGGATGTTTACAGCCATTATTTATTAGAATTTTTTCTGCTTTCTTTCTCTTGTCTTTTTTCTGGTACTCCAGTTACAAGTATGTTGGAGTCCTTAACCCTGAGGAGGTCGTGGCTGATCTGAGAGATACAAACTCTTCTCTTAAATATTGTTACATATACTGGGTGCATAGGTTCAAGGTCATGACTAGCTGCATGTTTGTACGTGACTAATGTTAAACCATAACCTTTAAGCCATCAGTTGGGTTGTAACATGTTTTGAAGGTGTGTTAGGTGCTATGCATCCAAAGCGAGGCGCTTATCAAAATATTTTTGCCAGTGTTGTGAAAAATTATGTATGCCTTGAGCATAACAATATTGTTTGCAATGACTGTTACAAATGTTTGGCAAAGCCAACTATGAAGATTCTGATTAATTAATGTTATAGACTTTTTTGGGTTATATTTTTAGCAATATCCATGTATCCATTATTTGAAAAAGAAAAATTATTCTTTATGTTTTTATATTTCTTTAATTTCTAAATTGTGACTGAAAATAAATTAAAAATTATGTATTTTATTATATAAACATAATAAATGCAAATGTTTGTTTTTAATTTTTTTCACATTTTATCATATATTAATAATGAATATATCTCTGCGATACATGAGACATATGCTGTAATTATTTTACTGTGACTTCCACAGGGTTAATGGTCCTATACTCTGTTCAGTTTTTTCTTCTTTTTTTTTCCTGCTCTTTAATCTGGATAATACCATCTCATTGAATTCTCACTACCCAACAAGGTAAGTAGTATTATTTTCCTCAATTTATAGATGAGAAAACTGAGGTTCAGGTTAAGTGACTTGCCATGGTCATGGAATGATAAGTATGGCTGTGAAATTCAAACAAAGGTTTGAGTCCAAAGTTTGTACTACCTTCTCTATACCCTATTGTCTTTCTATTCTTCAGCAACTATAAATCAACAACTGGGGTATTTGGGATTGGCTGCCTCTCTTCTAGAGGACTCTTTCCTCCCATCTTCCCTTTAGTATTTTTTGCTAGTATGTTCCTCTTAAATGCATATACCTAATACCTAACATATACTGGATGCTTATCTGATTGTTATTGCTTTGAATTCAATGATTACTCAGTGGTAGCTAGCTATAACTGATGAGGAGAACATCAATATTTACATCTAGATGCTTTCATTAGAAAAATATATGGCTTTTTGAAACCATTGATAACTTAATGGGAAGTATTCATTAAATATGTGTACTGACTTATGAAACTACTGTTATTGCTGATAGTTCTCATTTAACAGCATTTATTGATGTTTAGACCTGGGGCCATGGTGATTTATTTACTACATAAATACAATTAGGGACAAATGGGTTCTAATAAATAAATATTTCAACATTTAGGTTTTTAGTTTTGTATATAGGAGACAATCTTAGAAACAATATTATCTCAAGGGACAAGTCTTTAAAACCACAGATAAACTATAAATATTTTGTTAAATCCTTGGAAATAATCCTTTATAATTTATCTCAAAAAAATGATACTCTTTATACCATACACTTCAGACTCAGCATCTTGTCTGTCCTATAGAATCTTTGATTATAAAAATGCTTTCTACCAATTCTTTCTAAAAGCTAAAGGGATTATCTTAATTAGATTTTTCTCTACTTCAATTCCAAACAAACTGCTATCTATATTGAAATCCTAGATCAGAGATTCTGATGCGAGAAATACCTCCTGGGATCACAATGTATATATCTTCTAGCTACCACTAATTTCTGTAGTGCTTTCTGTAGTAGATGATATGAGAGACACAGCCTGGAGATTTGACTGTTCCTTTTTGTTCTTTCCAAATTCTATTACCAATATTTTCCCATGTAGTTTATATCCATTTACTAGATGAAATGCTTGCCATGCCTTCTCCTTATCTAAAAAAAAAGAGAAAAAAATCAATTTACACAGGGTTTAATGATTCAATTCCATTACAAGCTTAGTTTATGTGTTTGTTTGTTTGTTTGTTTATTTGTTTTTGCCTTGGAGCTAAATGTAGGGTATAATGCCATATAACTATTTGATTTTATTATCTTTTCCATAATCTCAAATTTGTATAACTCAGCAAGATTAAACTAATGGCTATGAATAATGACAAGAAAATCTTAAAACAGGTGTTCGAGAGTGCCTCCTAATTTAAAGATATAGGTAAAGAAACAAGAATATAGATAGTGTGCTAAAGAAGGCTAAGCTATAACTACTAATACACAAGCCTCTACCTTAGATAACAGATTATAGGTATTGTGAGAATAAACTCATTTTCAGAATGGGCAACACAAATAAAAGAGGTTAGTATGGTATTAGGGACATTTTGTTCCTTTTTTTAATAGGAGAGTAATTGTGGAAGCCTTCACTGAGATAAATGAGTGTAATAATTAATCCCTGTAAGCATGTGAAAACTTGAGATGTGAGAGTACACAGTGTACAGCAGAAGTATTCAACTTATGAGTCTTAGAGCCTTTATGCAGGAAATCAGGAAGGAGCGGAATTATTGCCTGGAGTTTGTGAAATCAAAAGTACACAAGCAATATTTTTTAGGCTGAAGCAATTTATGTCAAATTTATATATGTAATACAAATTTTCAAATGTGTATAGCTGCTATTATGATTAGTAAAACAGCTATCCATTTGAAAGTACTGTTTATAAAGCCTTTTTATTATATATATTTTTTTCAATTAAAGGATTATATTAGGTGGGGTTCATGGAAGATATTTTTAAGTTAAAAAGGATCCTCACACTTAAGAAGGCTAAAAAATACTAGTGTAGATAATCCACAAACCTTCAATAAGATAGCAAAGATGGTATAAGATTGCATGAAAAGAGTGGAGACTTGGAACTGTTCAAGTGTAAATCACTTGCCTGTGCACATAGATTACTAGGCTGTTTATAAGTGATGATAGTTTAGGAATAATGAAAAGTACAGCTCATACCCCACCTCCAGCAAAAAAAGAAAAAAAAAAGATAGCATGGTCTGTCAGAGAAACCAAAATTCCCATATTATTGTTCTCTTTGGATTAGGATACTCAAATAATGTATTAAGATGCAAACAATAGTTGTTATAAGAATATATCATCATCCACTAGTTACTAATTACTAGTGAACTTATTAGCTTGCAGTCTCTTAGTCTTAAAGGAATAGGAAATTAAGCAAGTATAAGTGTTCTGATCAGGATATCAATATACTAATAATATAATTATAACTTGGACTACAAATACTATTGTGAGCAAAGGTAAACTAAAATTTTTAAAGATAAAGTAAATTTTCATAAAGTTAGAAGGAAGTGCCAAGATTGAGGAAACTTGAGGACAATGGAGTAAGGTGGTCATGCACACACAGTCAATAGTGGAGAGGAAGCATAGAAGTGAGGATAGAGGAACAATGAATTCATATTTTGCTTACTTCTCTTCCCCTATTCCCACGTGCTTGTTTAAGTACACGCTTTTCATGTGTTACAGAGAAATCAAAGGACAGTATCTAAATTAGAGAAGGCATAAGTAGTCTTTAATGCTGATGCTACAACTGAGTAATTATCCAGATAAAGCTACTTACTGGGAAAGGTGATAAAAGCTTGTCCCCTCATTCGTCCAGTCATCATCCTGAATTGAACTGGAGGTCCTTTTTTCTCCTGGTACCGAGCAAACAATGAGACAAGATCTCTTTCAGTCACCCGAGAGCTAAGGTTCTTCAGGTATAACACCTAATATAAACAGAAGATCAACATAAATATCACATGAGGGAGGAAAGGCAACTACTTCACTGTGGTTATAATTCATTAGTTTCAGATCAAGATGGTGGATGGAACACATGCATTTACTTTCACTCCCTCCAGAAAACTCTCAAAAACTGGAGGATTTTTTTTAAACAAACCTACAAGGTCAGGAAGAACAAGGAAAAGAAGCAATATCTACAGTATTCTGGAAACTGGGAAATATTGGATAAGTATACTCAAGAAAGCTGAATCTTCAACCAGCAATGGGGAAAGCCAGGAACCAATCCAATCTATACCTAAGAATTCTAAAATAGTTAAGAAATTGATAGCTTTAGGCATCTCTGGAAATAGATGTTAGGGGATGGGGTTAAGACAAGGTGGTAGGTTGAAAGTTATTTAAAAACCAACTAGACCTTAAAATATCCTCCCCTACAATATACTATTAGGTAAAAGGCCACTCCCAATCCTGGTGAATACTGCAGGTTCATTCTCTGAATATAAAAAATGATAGACACAGTTGAAGGTGTAAATACTGTTTCTGAAAGCAAGAAAATGAAGATAAATAATATATACTGAATGCTGAGGATACCCCAGACAGTTTCCCCCTTTTGGCTTCTACAGTGCTGGTAGTACCCTCCCAAACCAGACTTTATAAGTGTCTTCCCTGAAGAATCGAATTAGCCCCAAGAGGAAAGATCTAAAAATTCTAATTTTGAATGGGGGATTTTGCCAACAAATGGACCAGCCAGATAACTTTAAAGTGTAGCTCAAAGTCAACAAGGACCACTCATGTACTCAAAGCTTCCAATTTGATTTTGTTCCCTACTCATAAATACAAGCATGATTCTCAGGCATCTGAGGAAAGTCTCTAATGTGAAAGAGAACAAAACAAAACAAAACAAAAAACAGAAATGAAAGCAAGCAGGAAAACCAGAGAACATCCAAAGAAAAAATAACCTTCAAAAAAAATAAAATAGAGCTCTTTAATGTGATTGGACTTAACCTCTTATTGCCTTAAAATAGATTATTATAACTCTAAGTAATGTGTTATAATTTTAAGTAAGGTTGATTGTAACCATAAAGAAAATACCTATAGAAGACACAGAAAAGAAAATGAGGGAGAAAAAAGCATATCACTACAAAAAAAAAAATCAATGAAATACAAAAGTAGGCACTAAGAAAAAGAGGAATAAAAGAGTTACAAGACAGAAAACTAATAAATGGCAATATTAAGTCCTTCCCTATCAATAATCACTTTACATGTAAATGGATTAAACTCCCAAAGACATACAGTAGCCAAATGAATAAAAAATAAGATCCGATGTATGCTGTCTACATGAAACTCATTTTAGATTTAAGGCCACACATAGGCTGAAAATGAAGAATAGAAAATAAAAATCCATGCACATGGTAACCAAAAGAGAGCACGGGTATCAGACTAAATAGATTTTAAGTCAAAACTTTCACAAGAGACAAGGAAGGACATTATATAATGACAAAAGGGTCAATTCACCAGGAAGATATGACAACTACAAATATATATGCAGCCAACATCAGAACACTGAAATATATAAAGCAAATGCTGAGAGAATCGAAGGGAGAAAATAGTAACACTATAATATCAGAAGATTATAAAACCTTGCTTCCAATAGAAGAAGGAAAGCTAGAAAATTCACAATATGTGAAAATTTTAAAAATACTATTAATTTTTTTATTTCTGTTCAAGTATAGTTGTTTCCATTTCCTACCCCCCACTCCTCCCACCACAGCCATCCCTACCTCTCACCCTCGATCCTACCCCACTTTGGCTTTGTCCATGTTTTCTTTATACATGTTCCTTGACAACCCACTCTCGATCAACTAGTGGGTCAAATAAATTAAAAGAGAAATCAGAAAATACCGTGAGACAAACAAAAATGAAATCATAACATTAACAAAATTTATGGGATGCAGCAAGAGAAGTACTAAAGAGGTTTATAGTAATAAATACCTACATTAAAAAAGGAAGAAAAACTTCAAATAAAGAACTTACCTTTACACCTTAAGAAACTAGAGAAAGAACCAAGCCCAAAGTTAGCAGGAAGAAAAATAATAAAGATTACAGCAGAAATAATCAGAACACAGATTACAAAAATAATTTTTAAAAATCAACTAAATTAAAAGCTATTTTTTAAAAGATCAACAAACTTGACTACCTTTGAATTGACTAAGAATAAAAAAGAGAAGACAAATAAAATCAGAAATGAAAGAGGACACATTAAAATTAGTGCCACAGGAATAAAAAGGATAAAAGGCTACTATGAACAATTCTGTACCAACAAAGTGGTTAATCTGGAAAATAATAATGAATTCCTAGAAACACACAATCTACACTAAGACTAAATTATGTGGAAATAGATAATCTGAACAGATTTATAACTAGTAATGCGATTAAATCAGTAATAAAAAAACATCCCACGAAGAAAGCATCAGAACCAGATAGCTTCCTGGGTGAATTCTATCAAACATTTAAAGAAGAATTAAAGCCAATCCTTCTCAAACTCTTCCAAAATATTGAATAGGAGGGAACACTTCCAAAGTAGTTTTATGAAGCCAGCATTACCCTCATAGCAAAAGAAAAAAAAAAGACTTTACAAGAAAACCACAGGACAATATACCAGATGACTAAAGATGCAAAAATCCTCAACAAAAAACAAGTAAGCTGAATTCAAAAGCATGTGAAAAGGGCTTTACACCATGACCAAATGGTATTTATCCCTGGGACATAAGGATAGCTCACCATATGAAAATCAGTAATTGTGAAACATCACATTAACAGGATGAATAATTAAAATCACATGAACATATCAATTGAAGCAGCAAAAGCATTGACAAAATCCAACACCCTTTCATGATAAAAATGCTCAATAAACTAGGAATAGGAAGAATTTACCTCAATATATTAAAGGCCATATAGTAAAAGTCCACAGCTAACCTCACACTCAACAGTTAAAAGCTGAAAACTGTTACTCTAAGATTAGGAACAAGGTAAGGATGCCCACTTTCTCACTTCTACTCAACATAGTAATACAAATCCCAGTGAAAAGAATTAAATAAAAGGTATCCAAATTGGAAAGAAACAAGTATAATTATCTCTGTATATGAAATGATCCTACGTGCAGAAAGAAAACTATAAAGACTTCACAATAAAACTGTTAAAAGTAATGAACAAATTCAGTAAAGTTGCAGGATACAAAATCAACATACAAAAATGACTAGAATTTCTTTAACAATAATCTGTGTACTAAAGAAATAAAAAATTCCATTTACATTAGCATAAAGTGCATAATATACTTAGAAATAAAGACTTATACACAGAAAACTATAAAACACTGATAAAAAAAGATTGGAAAAGACATGAATAGATGAAAATATATTCCATACTAATATTGTCAAGATGTCCAAACTACCAAAAGCTATCTACAGATTTAATGCAATTCTTATTAAAATCCCAACAGCAATTTGGGACCAACGCAAAAAATATCCTAAAGTTCATATGGAATCACAAGAGACCTCAAGTAGCATTCATTGTAGAAGAAGAACAAATTAGGAGGCATCATGTTTCCTGATTTCAAACTACAGTTAACAAAATAGTATGGTACTGGCGTAAAAAAGACACACTGAGCAGTGGAACAGAATAAAGGGCCCAGACATAAACCACACATTTATGAACTGATTTTCAACAAGGTGGGGGCAAGAATACACAATGGAGAAATGATAGTCTGTTCAATAAACTGTGTTGGGAACACTGGATATCCAGTGTAAAAAAAAAATGAAATTGGATACTTACTTTACACCATACACCCACACAAGAAAAACAACTCAAAATATATTAAAGACTTAAAAATAAGACCTGAAACTCTAAAACTCCCAGAATTAAACAAAAGGAAAAGCTTTTTGGCACTGGCAATGATTTCCTGAATATGACATTAAAAGCAGAAGCAAAGAGATCCAAGATGGAGGCAGAGTAGGTAGAAGCTGCACTAACCTCCCACCAGGATCAAACTGGAATTACAACTGAATTAAAGAAAAATCGTCCTGAATAACCAATGAAGACTAACTGGAGGGAAGCCTTATAATCAAGGACTTACAGAAGAAACCATTTCACCACAATGAGAGTGCAGAGGAAGTGCAAGAGGGCTAGCTGGGCTCCCACAGGCAGCAGCTCATGTACCGGAGGGATATTTCAGTGGCTGGGGGATCCCTCAGAGAAGTGTGGGCTTTAAACTCAAGCTAGGCTCCCCAGACTACAGCAACAGAGCAGGGAAAAGGACCCAAATAACATCTGGCTATAAAAAGCAGTGGGGTTTCTGTCCTCCCGGGGGAGATGACTGGACACAGAGAGCCTCTTAAAGGGCCAATGCACAAAATTGCCTTTGTAGCCACTTACCATGGGCTCCAGCAGGGAGAGGGCAGAGTGGACTAGAGTGTGTGAAGAGAGCCTTGGGTTGGTGGCTCTGGGGAGAGCTAAAGGGACTGCCAACAGGATCCCTGTGCTGAGTCATTCCCCATACTGAAGAAGCCATCTTTCTCAGGCACTGCACTCACCTCCAAGTGGTATCAGCCTGAGGGGAAGCAATAGCCCCACCTGCAGTAATCCCACTTTCCCCAACCTGTGGAGTTTAAACTGACTGCAGAAGAGTACAGATGGAGGCAATTTCAGTGTTTAAGCTTAACAGAAAAACTACAGGTGAAGGTGGATCTCTGGGAGCTTTGAGACTTTAGCTGATCCTCTTCAGAATGGTGCTGGTAAAGGCTGGCATTGGTGAGCAGCTTGGTTCTTTCTGCACACAAACAGGCCCAACAGAGGGAACCATAAGCTGTGGATCACTGTTAGCTCCAACAATGACCAGTCACAGGTAGTGTCTGGCATTGGTCTGCATCAGTCTTTGCTGATCTACTTAATACACAGAAACAAACACAAAAAGGCAGCCAAAATGGGAAGACAA